GTTGTTGTTGTTGTTGTTGTTGTTGCTGTGGTTGTTGTTGTTGTGGTTGTTGTTGTTGTTGATGAAGATGCTGATGATGTTTCTGTTGTTGTGGTCGTTGTTGATGAAGATGATGATGGTGTATCTGTTGTTGTGGTTGTTGTTGTGCTTGTTGTTGATGATGCTGATGATGTTGCTGTGGTCGGTGTTGTCACTGATGATAATGTTGCTGTTGTTGTGTTTGTTGTTATAACTGATGGTATAGTTGAATCTGAAAATTAGGTTAAATAATATTTTTAGAAACTGGCCTCGTTGTTAAACATTACTGGTACTGATTGGTGTCGAAGACAGAGTTGTTGTGTCATCGATTTCTGCTGATTGAATAGAAGCTAAATAGTTTAGTTCAAACAATGAAAATTAACAAAAAAGAATTTACTAGGGGACGTTTGAAATGTTGCGTTCATCGTCGATTGATGAGAAAAATCTTTGAAATAAAATAAAATAAGCATAGATCTTCGCTCATCATTCTCTGGTTAAGATGTATGTTTATTGATTATTTGAAAGTGAAACTCACCAGAGGTTATCGTCGTTTGTGAAATCGAAGTTGTGTTGAATGTTGTCGTATAATTACTTTGTGTTGATTGTATAGTACCTGAATAGTTTTACTATAATAATATGAAATAAAATAATAATAACAATTTACTTGTATTTGTTTGATATATTGATACATTCGGTGTTGTTGATAAAAGCATTGAATCTTCTACAAATAAAATAAAATTTATTAAGACATTTTATTTAGGTGAAACTAACCAGTACTTGTCATTATTTGTAAAGGTGTAGTTGTTGTACTAGAGTCTTGTGTTGAATCTATAGAATTTGAATAGTTTTCATTGAACAATAGAAGAAAACAAGAAATTATTAATTTATACCTGTATGATATTGCGTGTCTATCAATGTTGAGGTAACAATTGAATCTTTAAAATAAACGAAATAGAATTAATTATTTCGCTATGAAAACACACTAGTGCTTGTCGTTGTCGTCGTATCTGGTATAGGAGATGTTTCGATCATTGTTGTAGATTCATTTGTTGTTGTTTCAGTTGAATCTGAATAGTTTTAGTTATGTAATAGAAAGTGAATAAATAGAATTACAACGAACCAGCATTTGTTGTATCTGTTGACATGATAATAGTTGATGAAAAAGTTGAATCTATCGAATAAAGCAAATAACAATTTTTACTAACTTCTTTTTTTAAATATAAAAATTACCGATAATTGTTTCTTCAGAAGTTGTTGTACTCATGTATGTCGTTTGTGTAGAATCTAAATAGTTTAAATAAAGTATGCTAGATAAATAAATAATAATTAACCATTATCTATTTGTTCAGTTGTTATTGTTGATGAAAGAATTGAACCTTTAAAATTGACTTATTGTTAACGGTATATTTGTTTATTTATAACAAAAAATCTTACTAAGGATTGTCGTTTCTGGTATAGTTGAAGTAATTGGATCATTGTTTTGTATAGAAGTAGAAACTGAATAGTTTTAATTGAATAATAGCAGTAAAATAAAAAGCGAGGACTCACCTTCATCTGATGGTAAAGACATTGTTGATGTGTCAATTAAATCTTTAAAATCAATAAAAAAAATAACTTTTGTCTCAATTCTATTCAAACGAAATATTTGTTTTTGAGATAAACTTACCAGTACTTGAAATCATTTGTAGAGTATCAATGGTGGTATTATTATTCTCAACGGTAGATTGTAAAGAATCTAAATAGTTTCAGTTGAATATAACAAAAAACAAGAAAAGTAATCATTAACCTGTACTCATCTGATCTGTTGTTAGTATCATCATGGATGAATCGATTGAAACTTTATAAAATAAAAAAATATATTGTCTTCAATCGAAGTTCGAAGCAGTTAATCAACTTACTATCGGTCGTTGTTATATCTATAGTCGAAGTTAATGTGTCTTCAGTTGTGATTGGTTGAGTAGAGTCTGAATAGTTTTACTTTAAATAAGTAAAGTAAAATATTTTTATAACTAACCGATGTTTATTTCATGTGTTGTACTTGTTATTTCAGATAAAAATGTTGAGTATATTAACGTTTCTTGATTAATAGTAGATTCGATGGATGTCATCTCATTATTTTGTATTAATTGAGTAGAATCTAAACAGAATAAGTTGAATAATCAAAGACATTCACTGATAATTTACCTTCAATAATTTGATTTATTGTTGATGAAAGAGTCGAATCTATAAAATTAAATAAAATCGAACTATTTTATTCAATTTATGTGATTATTGATTAATAGAAACAGATATTTCGTTTTAATAAATATTCAAATAGAAATATATTTTGATATATAATAACTCACCGATATTTGTTATCATTTCTGAAGTTAAAATTGTTGTATCATCCATCTGTGTTGATTGAGTGGAATCTAAATAGTTTTAATTGAATAAATAAAAATGAAAGAATAATAACAAACCTACATTTGTTTGTACGTCGATCATTGTTGAGAGAATTGGTTCTTTGAAATAAAAATATTTTTTATATTAATTTTTTTTGAATAAGACTCACCAGTACTTGTTATTATTTCTGAATTTGATGTAGTTTCGATAATTGTTGTATAGTCATTGTCAGTTGTTGAAGTAGCAACTAAATAATTTTATTGAAATAATAGAAAAAAAATCGGCAACTAACCTGTATCAATATCTGTTTCCATGACGGATGTGAGAATTGAATCTATAAAAAGTAAAATTTTACAAATGGATTTTTCGAATACGCGCTATCACTTGTCGTTATTTTTAAAGTTGAACGTATTTCACTTATTGTTGTATCATCAGTTTCCGTTGTTTCAATAGGAACTAAATAGTTTTACTTGAATAATAATAATAATAATACAAAGAAAAATAACAACAGACCTAAATCTATTTTATCTGTTATTTTTGTCGCTATAGTTGATAAAATTGGATCTATGAAATAAAAGTTGTATTAACTATTTTTTACAATTAATCTTACTGATAATCATTTGTGTTGAAGTTTCGTCATTGATTGTTGGTATTGTTGTCGTTGTTGTTGGTATTGTTGTTGTCGTTGTTATGGTTGTTGTTATTGGTGTTGTTGGTATTGTTGTTGTCGTTGGTATGGTTGTTGTTGATGGTGTTGTTGGTGGTGTTGTTGTTGATGGTATTGTTGGTATTGTTGTTGTCGTTGGTATGGTTGTCGTTGGTGGTGTTGTTGTTGGTGTTGTTGGTGTAGTTGGTATTGTTGTTGTTGATATTGTTGTTGTAGTTGGTGTTGTTGTTGATGTCGTATCATCATTTAATATGAATTCAGTTGAATCTGAATAATTTTAAATAGACTATAGTAGAAAAAAATAATAATAATAACTAACCTATACTTGTTGCATCTGATGTGATTATTGTCGATGATAAAGTTAATTCTATGCAATGAAATTTATTGAAACTATCTGTATAATAATTCGTTTTGAGATAAAACTTACCTATACTTGTTGTTTCTTCTACATTCAAAGTTGTCGTAATTGCCGTAGTTGTAATACTTTCCGTTGAAGTAGAATCTAAAAACATATGGAAAAAGTCAAGTATTCACAAGTCAATATATTAGTACATAATCTCTTAATAAAACTATTCTTAGAAGTCTTAATTAATTTGATTAAACTTACCACAATAATTGCTTGCGAGTTGAAATTTTTGAATTTGGGCATTGTCTCTATCAGTTACATATATATTTCCATAACTATCAAAACTAAGACTTTGTGGCCTGTTAAACTGATACAATATACTTCCATTTGAATCAGGACATCCAAGGATACATCGATATCCATCTGATCCTGATCCAATAATGCGATTTCCCTGCGAATCTACAATAAATAGATAACCATTTGCATCAAGAACAACATCGGTCGGAGTAGTAAGTGTAATCAATCCCGTTGATACAGTTGTTCCAATAGTGGATCCTGGTGCAAATTTTTGGATCCTGTTGTTATCTGAATCTGCTACGTATAAATTGAAGTTGAGGTCGACAAATATACCTTGAGGTTCATCTAGTTGATTCAGTCCTTTTCCACTACGGCCAGTTCCTGCTGTGATGTTATATGAATATCCAGAAACATTCAGGGATTTCTTAATAACTTGATGCTGGTATCGAACTGAACAGTACAGAGTATTATTCAAATCGACAAAAACTCCAAAACAAGCATTAGATACCGACATCGCTTTGGTTCCATTTGTTGCATTCAAGGTCAATATATCTACTTCCTTATATAGGTTTCCATTATCGACATATATATCACCATTCATTGTTACAAAGAGACTCATCGGTTGGTATAAATTACCAGAAATAGTTTCTATTAGAGTTCCACTGCTTCCTGACCATACAAGAACACGATCATTGGATGTATCTGCGAAGTAAACAATATTAGTGATATCAACAAATATACCGACAAAATTATATCCAATTGTATTTTGATCTGCGAAAACAGTACCAGCAGTATCCCATAGTGCACATGGACTGAATGTTGGCAGATTGTAGGAGACACCTATTATCAAAAACAGAACAATATGTTTAAATATGCAAATAATAATCATTAACAAACTGTTACATAGATATATTTTAATAATTTTTGTTCACTATTGTGATAGATTTTCTATTAGGGTATGTATATGTATTAAATTGCAATCAATCAATAGATAACTGTCATAAAAAAAAGAGAAACACGATTATAGAATTCAGCACTTTGAATGTCATCCTATGGTTTTAGATATTTATTTACATATGAACGATAACCATGCAAAGGGTATAAATATTCTGCGTTGATTTTATAGTCAATTATTTTAAGTTAAAAACTATTCTTATATGTTTTAGAAAGAAAAACTGAAAAAAGAACTATATGCTGACAAAGATTTTATGTGTACAGAATATCATAAGAAAGAATAAATACTTGCCTGAAACAAAATCTACCAACATCAGAGACAATACTAATAACATTATTAACTATGAAGAGGTAGTTAACAATCTTCACTTATACATTTCCCAAATGTCAAATATTTATTCTATAATGAAAAAGAGTTAAAACTTGTTATAATAATAAAATTAATGAGAGAGAACATTCAAACATCAATGGAAAGAAATAATGACTCCGATTGTTTGAAAAAATAAGTTTATATAGTGAATAAAAACCGGTCGAACGATAAACAATCTATATCCTCAATTATGACTATCCCCAAAGTGTTTTATTGTTTCCGAAGAATTTGACTGAAATTTGATTTATAGGACTCAGAACAAAATAATGTTTATATTTAGCAAATTCATTTCTATGTCAATATTTACTGTTATCTATCCGCAACAATTTAACAATATTTATATTTCTTATTAGTACTCTTTAGTCAAAAAATAATCTCAATTTGACCTAAAAAAACAGAAATGTTCTCGTAATCATTTTACTCTAAAATCAAGCAACTGTTACATTCAAATAAATTTTATTATTTTCTTTTAGAACAGGCGATTGTTTTGAATGAATTCTAATAATATTTTTTTTAATTCTGTCAACCGTACACCCATCTCGTCTATTGTTTCTTATGTATAAAATTGAAATGAAATTGATCAATAATCTAGCTTGAATATTTTCTTCTAGCATCCAGTCATCATCAAAAATATTCCATACAAGTCATTTATTCTTTACTGATTTGATAAAGAATATTTTTTCTCACTCTCACAGTAAAATTAACTATTAGAATGGCTTTACACGTAATAATACGAGATTTCATTCCTCAGTTTCTTGTACATTCAATAAGAACTAATATTCTTTTCACTTCACAAAAGAATCAATGTTGATTAAACAATTTTTTTTCTGCTTACATCGTCATGAATGATTCATGGATCGTAATACAAGAGAATATAAAACAAATATAAGAAATCAATATAGAAAATATACATGATACTGAACCTACTTCTATATTTAATACGATGAATGAAATTAATTTCGTTATTTATTTTATTTTACTTATATGATAATAATTTCAGATCTTCAACAATAAAGCTTTCATTGATTTTTTTTTAATAACTTGTTTTCGAATATATTTAGGTGTAATAAATGCATCCAATATGTTTGCTGTCAGTTGACTTTATAGTAAATAAAACATTCATTTTTTCTGGTTTCTTAGGAATATTTTATTTTCTTTCATTTATTATTCTTGTCTTTATTGCATTATTAAGTATATTTTTAATAATGTAAGTAAATGATTCATTTGCACATGTTAAACGAGAACTAGCTGTAACACAACAAAGAAATGACATGATGAATATAATGTGATCTGCATTTGGAAAAGCAGCTGGAATTAATAATAATAAAATGAAACATGATATGACAACATTACTGGGTTCAACTGATAAGAATAATGATGTACCATTAGCTAAATTTGTTGGTGATGATCTTTAAATTATTTAAAATAAGACTATAAATTTTAAAAGAAAAGAGACTTAACTATTATTTTATTTTAAATTTCAGCTATATTTTTGTCTACATATTCAATACATATATTTATTTATCTATGACAGAATTTTCGTCAATAAAATTGGCTTACGCAACAGGAATGGAATATTGTTTAAATTAGTTTCATTTAAACTAACATTTGCTAGAGACTAATATGAATGAAATAGTATTTATAGAGTTCTATCAATAAGAAAATATTATTTCATTTCTTAACTAAACGATATATTGTGTTCCTCATCTAAAATCTATGAATTGTGTAGAGATAATATCATTGATATTTTAGTCAAAAATTGAAAATACTGTTATTTACACATAATTTCATATTTGCCATCTCTCTATTGATCCGCGGTTGTGAACACAAAGCCATGTGAATATTTACTATTATGATTACTAATTTTCTTTCAAAAACAATCTATTTTCTTATTTATTGTTTTATTTTGCATAAGCTTGATCAAACACAACAAAATTGATGAAAAACTAAAGCATTGATCATTGATCATTGAATTAAACATGTTCTACTGTTAACGGCTGTAGACTATTTCTTATTGCTTGAATTTTTTCTATTCTTCTTCGTATGAGATGATAATGACAATTGTTTCTTTTTCAAATCGGCAATGTTTGCTTCACCTCTCTTCACCATCTCATGATCTGGTCCATAATTAGCTTGATAGATTGAAAGACTTTGATTGTAATAACGAAGTGCTTTGGATAAGTTGTTCATGTTTTCATAACATATGCCAATATTTCTTAAGCTGTTTGCGATGTAAGTGTGATCAGAAGACAATGTCTGACGAGAGTATTCCAGCGCTTTAAGTTCACATCGTAATGCTTCTCCTCTCATATCATACTTGGAATATAAACAAGACATTGATATCAAACATTGAGAAGTGACTTGATGATCCAATGGTGTGCAATTGTCCAATACAAATAGAGCTTGTTTATAGTATTTTAATGCTTCGTTTGAATTGTCGTCCTCAATTAAATTAGCCATGTTCATTAATGTTCGAGCAATACGAGGATGATTTTCACCCAATCTAGTTTTTTGATTAAGACGCTTTTGTTGACACAAATCTAAGGCTTTGTCAATCTCATTCATCTTTTTATAAGTATTAATGATCAAATCGAGATCAAATGAAAGATCTGAATGGTCGAAAGGTAAACAGTGTTCGTCCATATTTAATCGTTGTTGATAATAATCCAGAGCAATATCAAAATTATCTTTCTTCTCATAAGTAGATCCTATTGAACCGAGACATCGTGCTATCTCAGAGTGTTGATGAGGGAGAACACGTTTATACATCTCCAGAGCATGAAAGAAATAAGTAAGAGCCGTATCGAAATCTTCTTTATCCTTGTATACTATCCCAATATTTTTAATTGTACCTGCTTTTTGTAGATTATTACCAGGATATAAGTTGTCGTAAACTCTCAAAGCTTGTTGAAAATAATCGAGTGCTGTATTAAAATCACCTTTTTCTTTATAAATAAGACCAATATTGTTGAGTGAACCAGCAATATGAGGATGATTTGAAGGTAGTTGTTTTTGACGCATCTCATAAGCTATCTCATAGTTTTTCAATGCCAAATTCAATTCATTTCTCCTCTTATGTACTACACCAATATTATTATAAACAGCTGCAATATCAGGATGATCATGTGGAAGTGATTTCAATAGCATATTAAAATATTTTCCTGCACGATCTACTTGACCTAATTCCTTCATGAGAAGTCTACCAAAATAAATAAGCGGTGACAATTCTTCCATCTGTTGTTTCGATAATAATAGATATTCTTCAACTTTTTCTGCACCTTCTTCAGTTGCATTTAATTCTACTTTCCATATATAAAATTCAGGATCAAACCATACAGAAACAATCTTAAAGAGTGAATTGATATTAAATAGAACTTCTTCTTCGTCTTGTATTCGACTTTTATTTTCAATATCAGCAAAAATTACTGTTTTCAATAATGGATCTGCTTTAATTTCAAATAGGACCGATGTAAAATCATTTGATTGAGAATTGATAGGAATAAATACAAGTGATACATCGATATTCCTAGATGTTGATAAGAACCCATTTGTTGAAATAGTTTTACCGATATTTTGTTTTATTTTTTCAAATTCTTCTCTTGGAATTTGTGTTCCACGATACAAAGTTAATGTTCCTCTATTTTTTAAAAGTTGATTTTCTTGTTCAATAGCTGAACATAAATCAATAATAAAGAATCGAAAAGTAAAGAGTAAGTCAATATCTTCAGTTCGAAGTGCTTTATTTAATAGTTTATAAAGAAAACAATCATGTGTATACCATTCAATTGCTTTGTTACAAGTATAAGTATTTTGAAATTCTTCAATCTTCTTTAGTTCTTCTTTATTATTTTTATAATAATCACGACACATATCGAGCATTTGTTGTTTCGATTGTTCATCTTGTGACATTTGTTTTAGAACATAAATTAACATTTGATGTAATAGAATTGATGCTGATTCTTGTGATAAATCTTTCATTGATTTTTGTTTTTGATCAAAAAGACTAAATGTTAATGTTTGTTTTTCAACTAGATTCATTTTTTCCCGTATGGATTCTAATAAATCATCTTGATCAGTAAATATTCCAATAATTTTATTATATTCTTCCATTAATGGTTTATAACGTTGATGGTTTGAACAAAAGATAAATATAGCAACCAAAGATCGACAATGATGACTTTGTAAAAGTATCCGTTGAGCAAAAGCACCTGAAACAATAAGAAAGATTTGTTCATTTTTGATTGACTTGATAAAATCGAGACATCGATCAAAATGAGAATAAAACTGAACAGCTGGATTGAGTTCAGTTAACATTGTTTGAGTGAGAAGATAATCATCTGAATCATTCATATTTCCATCAAGCCAAATTAATTGGATATCTTCTTTATTGTCTGAAACGTCGTTCGGAAGAGGATTCTGTTGTCTTTGATTCAAAGATTCACTAGTAGCCATTATAACTAATAATCACTTTATTATTACCTTGAAAAAATTCTGAATAAAAATATTTTGTTTCAGAGGTTTTTTATATGTTGTGTGTTGCAGAAGCAAAACATTTCTTTTCTTCCTACTTTTTTTTCAACATTATCTGATAGATAAAGCCGACAACAGTGTCATGTTAGAGGCGCTTCGAATTGTCTTCTGAAAGTGAATATCGTAATATTGCTTTTTCGCGGAATGAAATATTTTGTTTGGGTTTTTTACCTTTTTGAGTGATCTGTTTCATTACACAGCACAGGTTTAGTAAAGAAATACCTTTCACTAACGTGTGACAAATGTACATGGACACACTCATGCATTTATACCAGCAATACGTATATAATTATACAATAACTTTATATATCCAATACAAATAATAAATCTTAAACTATTTTCAAATAGAGCTGAAGAAAAGTCTTAGTTTTTAGAACAATCAATTGTTGAAATTGGTAATGGAAATGAATGTTTAGCAATAGCATTATTTTATCTTTTTTCTTATTGGTAAATTCATATATGCAATATTAGTTCATCAATACTTCGAATTGCTCGTAATAATGCATATCTTCATCATAAAAATCTTTTCAATTCTCGTTTTCGTGGATATATATTATTTAAATATTTTCCATTTAATATTGATCAAATTAAAGAATTATTAAAAATATCGAAATTTTATTTATGGATAATAAATTGAAAGAGCACAAATCATTGTAATAAATGTTATAAAGAAATAAATAATGAAAGAAATACTGTTACTATTAATGGAAATGATATAACAAATAAACGAATAATATTTGATGAATGCTCTAAATGAATAAGAACTTATTCATGAATATGTTGGTGGAATTAAATTAAGATTTACTTCATAATTATAAAAGAAAGATATTTTGAATATGTGTACATTCTGTATAATATTTTTTTAATCTGCATTCATTATAAATACTAAAAAAATCACTTCTTAAATAATATATTGGTGTAGAAAGAAATGTTCAAAATATTTAACTTTGAGATTTATATACTCTCCT